ACTTTTTAAACTTTTTGCTTTTTAAAACTCTTTTAAAAACTATTTTTTTGAAAATATCTGTCTCTTACTGCAGTATTTCTGTTATTGTAGCGGTTGACAAATTATAGGGAAATACGACGACATAAGTTAAATTTCAAAACTTTTATGTGTTCATATGCAGTGAATCAAACGAAAAATGCATCCTTTGTTACAATTATTTAAAATATTACAAAAATAAAAAAACAACTAAATTTTATCGCCATATTTCTCCATAATTCGGCAACCGCTACAATAATGCAAAAGTCAAAACAAAATAGTAAATGACAACAGACTACAAAAACGGAAGTGGGAAGGTTGTAGTATTTTGACTGCAATTATGTACAAAAATATGTTGCATCCATGCTGCAAGAATTAATGCCCGACCTTTCCGGCAAAATTTGCATTTACAGGGACAGAAAAAGATTACGAGACGAGTTGAATAAAAAAGTTAAAGCACCGAACACTTTTTATATACAGCCAGAGATACTGACAGCTTTCAAATTTGGTACAACCACAGAAAGTACTGCCCGATTATACCTCAAAAAGTATTTAACAGTTGTGAAATTATTCATGCGAATAAGCCAAGAATGGTTAAGGTTGTATTTTTAATGTTTTTATGTTGTGAATTAGAATCTGGATAATAACCAGCTTATTTAACTTTTTAATTATTACTAGTGTCGCTGATCAGCGAACACGCGAATATAAACAAACAGCTAAAAATAGACCAATTTGGAGATTTATAACTTTTCAGAAAATTGCTTGCAGACGAGTTTTATTCCTGATTACTTAACTTTAGTAGGTATACTTTCAAATTACATGCCTTTTGCACTTCAGATAGGTGCCACTTTTGAGCTATTTTAAGTAAAATATGAGTAATTTTCAGCCTCTCTTCGCCATCTTGAAAACATAGTTTCGTAAAACTATAAAAAAATCGTATTAATCGCATTAAGTTGTTCAATCTCCATGTAAACGAGAGTATTAGTGTTAATCTTGCATGTGAACAGTAACTGGAGGGGATAAACACAACACGTTTTTAAAAAATCAGATGAATTCTTGTAAAATTCCCCTTCATTTCCGGTCTGAAAATATTCTCGCAAGGTCAAATTTCAACATGGCTATAACTCCTATAAAACAGAAAGTTGAAACGTTCTGAAAGAAGCTCGATTAATATTGACCAAAGTCTAGTTCATATGCAAAATATGAGCTAAATCTATTTTCCCTTCCCCAAACCAGCGGGTGGATTTTACTGAGAGGCCCTCTTAAATGTTGAAATAAGCTTAAACACAAAAACGAAGCTAAGTGGCTATGGCTCCTTAGCCTCACTTTCGTGTTTAAGCTTATTTCAGCATTTATTGACCATGCATGGCCCCTGAAAAACAAACTTAAAATTCATTTCATTTAAGGTGGTCCTAAGTTGAAAACAGTGTTAGTCGTTACGTAATTACCGGAAAGTTCTATTAATATCGTCTAAATCTTGCTGGCTATTAAAAATCAACATTTTTTAGAACCACTGAGTATTTTAATAAAATACAAAACAAATGTAACTCCAAAGATCGATAACATTTTTATAAATATGTTATCGAGCTTTTGAGTTGCACTGGTTTTGTATTTTATTAAAATTTAATTGTCATTCTACATCAGTCGAAAACGTGTATGTATATCATTAAATTTTTGACAAGTATTTTGCAACACCGAGGGACCCTAAAGTGATCCTAACTATCTTACATTTTAGATCTTTTTTGTTCCTTGTGTGTTTGAGAAGTTAGTTCAAATACTCAACATCGGACGTTAATTTTTTTGTCTTCCACATTAATAATAAGCTCCCCTTACGAAAAAATCCTATAGGAATTCCTATTAGATTTTGGCCCAATTTCCTATAGGAATTCCTATAGGATCATATAGGAATTCTATGGGATCCTATAGGAAATTGGTCCAAAATCTAATAGGAATTCCTATAGGAATAGGAATTCCTTAGATTTACATAGAAATTCATATTGGATCATATAGAAATTCTTGCATAATCCTCTAAATCAAACTGCCTAAAAGAGTTATTTACCAAGGTGAAGGAAAAAGAGAAACTAGTGAAAAAAATTTATTACAGATAAAAATGTGGCAAATATAACAGGCTATATTTACATATAACATACTAATTTAGGCTATTTATCTTTTTAACTTATGACATTTTTCATTGTTCTCAGTTTAAGAAATGTTTCTTATATTTTCCTACTTTTAGAAAATTTTTAGACGTAAAATTGTACTATATTATATTACCTATATTATGTATTTAAAAAATAGAAAATTCTGTATGCACTACATAAGTTTTATTTTCTGTCATTCTTATAGATGACTATGTTTAGTTCTGATTGCACAGCAATGTGTTGTGGCGAATAGAGTTTCTCACAATGCCGTATTATAACACTTTCCACTTCACAATCAATATTATGATCTAACAAACCATTTGTTCAAGTCCATTGATTTCTTCATGTACATTTAATACTGCTCCGAGTACAGCATGCAAATGCCACCAGATATCCATCATATTGGAATCTGTAAAAGGAAAACATTATTTATTTGAAAATATAATCATAATTAGTAAATTATACCCTATAAAAAAACTAGAACAATGGACTTGCTTCCTAAACTGAGACACTCCTCAGTCAGTTATAAGGGACTATTAACTCTTGATGTAAAAACAGTTTTTAATTAATATTTAACAATTATTGAATGAGGTTGAGCATGACATGAAGAATTATCAACCCCAAAGTTTGCTGTTATCAACCAAAGGCTGAGGTTGATAATTGTTACAGCAAACTGAGGGCTTGATAATTCTTCATATTGTGCAAAAACCAAATTCAATAATTGTTTTATTATTTATTTAATTAAAAAAATCAAAACAAATGGAACCCATTTGTATTTTATTTGTATTAAGAAAAAAAATCCTAGTTAGTCCTTCGGCAGCCGTCATCGTCATCATATCAATGGCGTCAGCGAGTCGATATGATTCTCGTCGCAAACACGTCCCAAATTTTTTCATTTTGAAAAATCCATATTTGGTTAGCCACTGAGTTGATACGACAATTTCACAGTTGGCTGTTAGCCAATCAGAAACCAGAAATTTTTTAAATAAATAATAAGATTTATCCTTTATATATAAGATAATTCCCATAGTTTATTGTCATAATCACCATGAATCACAAAGACTACAGGTTCATATTGGTACAAGGTAATGCAGGGTGTAATATTACATACTTGGTTTGGTGAATAATCCAAGTGAAAACTAAGTCCTCTGGCAGTAATCGAACCTATGGCCCTGCGATTCTGGAACTCAGTTGGTTAGAGCGCTGCCCCGGAAGCACAGGGCTGTAGGTTCAATTCCTGGTCGACGATTTAGTGTTACATTTTTCGCAATCGTTCCTGGTTATAGGTCTTAATTAAATAGCGTCTATATATATATATATATATATATATATATATATATATATATATATATATATATATATATATATATATATATATATATATATATATATATATATATATATTGGATTATCCACCAAACCCAGTATTCTAGTCCAAACAAGTGAAGTGCAAATAATATCTTGTAATATGTATAGTATGTTAAGAAGAGACATGGCCGTGGGCAGAGAGTAGGGATATGCTGGATTGGGTTACTGGCATCCGGCAAAATATAGGCCATCCAAAACTATCAATGCCATGCCACAGATATTTATGCTTAATATATAAAGTGATAAAGCACATATTAAATAAACTATGGACTATTGTTAGTGAATCTGGTTATATTTGCTGATTGTTGAAAACATATTTGGAGCCAGGGCTACATACAAGCACTGCCCAGCTCAAATATTAATCTTGAAATATATACAAAGACAACATTTGGGGCACTGTCTCAGCACTATCATTACAAACATCACTTTATACAAGTGAAGCTCTTTATAAACCCACTATTAAAAGACTCTCCCCTTGACAAGTAAAATCATCTTGCAATTTAGACAGAGTAATGCAAATACAGTAGAGGACACTAAAGATTGATTATCGATACACTAAAAATAGCACATTTAATGCTGTCGTTCTCTCTGATTCCAATCCTTATTGAAGTATTAAAATGCTTTACAATAGTCTTAACTTTAAGCAAAGTGCCAAATTATGCCAAAGAAAATATTGCTAAATTGTTAATAATAGTGTGAAATTTAGTATAGAATTCACAATAATAGGTTCGAATTTATATTTCATTCTTTCTTTACTGCCAGAAACCAACATTTTGTGTGTTTTATATGCAAATTGACGCGGCAAATTCAAACATTCAACGGAATTTTAAGACACATGGCCCACATGGCTCAAGTTAACTATCATATTCACCACATTATTTTGCAATTAAAGTGCTTAAATAATAAGTCAAATACAAAAGTATTCTTACCTGTGACATCTGAATAACATGTTAAGAACTTTCCGATTCCTTTTCCACTGTTTGGGTTAAAAATAACAACGAAATATTCCAAGCACAAAATTATAACACCAAATACGATTTTTATCACAAATAAAACGATGCTATCCCATGAAGCTTTGCGCTCTGAAACGTAAACTAGTCACCAGGGCGTCCAGTTGAAGCGCGAACTATTGGCTGTATCTTATATTCTTATTAGGGATAAAATTCCAATAGGAATGCTTGCATTAGGGACCATCAGGAATTATAGAAATCCTAGCTAGCTAAACACATTGATACTAAAAACATAACCACTGAGTATTTTAGCAAAATACAAAACAAGTTTAACTCCAAAGATCGATAACAATATATATCGATGTAGATCGATATCGATCTTTGGAGTTACACTTGTTTTGTATTTTGCTATAAAAAACAGAGTAAAAACATATAATAGCAGCAATAGGATTCTATATTCTATATAACCTCCTATACGAATATCAAAATTCCATTCCTATAGGAAATTCCTATAGGAAATTCCTATAGGAAAATTCCTATAGGAAATTCCTATAGGAAATTCCTATAGGAAATTCCTATAGGAAATTCCTATAGGAAATTCCTATAGGAAATTTCCTATAGGAAATTTCTATAGGAATTCCTATAGGAATTCAGTTCCTATAGGAAATTCCTATAGGAAATCTATTCCTATAGGATCCTATAGGAATTCCTATAGGAAATTCCTATAGGAAATCTATTCCTATAGGATCCTATAGGAATTCCTATAGGAAATTCCTATAGGAATTCTATTCCTATAGGATCCTATAGGAATTCCTATAGGAAATGGCATTTCCTATAGGAATTCCTATAGGATCCTATAGGATTTTTTCGTAAGGGATAGGCACTTTAAACAACATACCATGTTCTTCAGTGAACGTTACAACATTAGAATGTCATAAAATCACCGTACTTACATAAAACCACAACTCTGTACCATTAACAAAGGCTGCACACATACTGTTCCTGTGTATTTCAGGTTCTTCATAGCAAAAAATATCCATTTAGGGCTGTACATCTAACTCAATCATCTTGGCGTTTCAGTTGCAACGTAGATCTTTTACGGGGTGGGTTTTTTCAGTTGCACATCAATACCAAGTGTCTTATTCTCGATCATTTGCTTAAACTGTGTAGCATGGAGATGAACATTGGATTTTTCACCATGCTGACATAGTTTCTGGACAGCAGAAGCACTTGGAGGAAGAGCACTGGTCATCAATCATTGAAACTTGCTTGCATTATGCATGTTTTCACTGCCAAAAAGAAGACAAGTGATGCAAGAACCACTGTTTGCCCCAGCAGAGTAAGCCAACCATGGAAATTGTGATTACCATGCCAACTTGAAATGTCTACTAATATTTTCGTGTGGAGGAAAAGAAAAATCAGAACCAGATATTCAATGATTGCACAGAATTTCGTACTTTTTTGAATCGGGAAGACTGGACACCAGATTTACGTAGTTGTAGATATCATCTGCCCACGAATTGGTAGAAGTTCATTGTGTTTTGGTGTTAATTTTTTCTGAAGTAGGACCAGTGTTGGGAGTTACAGATGAAATTCCTTTACTAGTGCTGGGAAATTTGATTTCACTGTCTACAGTTTCTTGTGTGTTGCATGCTCATTTCACAAGAAGCGTATCGATCTAAGCTAAGTTGTTTTCTTGTTGTACCAGTCGTCTGCTTTTTAGTAGATGTAGTCAATTGTGTAGAGGAAGGAGCAGAAGAAACGTTAGTAGAAACTTTAGGAGAAACTGTAGGAAGAACTTTAGGATGAACTGTCATGGACGACTTCAATAAGGTTAGAAGGTGTGCTTTAAAATAATGGTCTCATGGCTGAAGCACTTTAACTGGTTTGCACAAGGTAACAAAATTATTTTTGGTGGATGGAATTCTTCCATCAACCAAATACCACGGTGGCATGCATCGCAGCACAATGAAAGATATGGATATGGACATATTCAATTGCACTGCCATCAAGATAATCCTGTGGATATATTGTACAATTGAATCCAAGGAATCCCAATGTTCTTTCGCTACAGTATCATTGGTGAGTGGGTAGTATGACTGAATGGCACACTGAATTACTGTGGACAAGGCAAACATGCACACCATGGATGAGAATGTGTAATTATTTGCAGTTTCCTTTGCTTCTTCTAAAACTGCTGCAATTTCATTATAATTCTTGAAAAAAATAAGAGCTGCATCAGATACACACATGGCAAAGGCATTTTTAAGTGAAGTGAACACTATGTTTTTATGCTGGGACTCAATGAGAGGGGATGATTAGCATAGTATTTGGCATTATCAAACATTACAGCTTAATTGAACTCATTGTCAATTTCATATGTCTCCGTTTCAGCCACCAAAACATTGAACAAAAGGTTCAAACTGTTGTCTGGATCGTCATCAAATAAATCAACCTCTTTGAGCCTTCCAATTGCTTGCTTCATTTTCGCTGTTGTATTCGCTCATTTTGCTTCATAAAAGACTGTTTCCTTCTCGACGAACTTGCCAGTCAAAAACGATAACAAACCTATTAAATGACCCTCCTCAAACAAAGTGAAATATGATATTTTATCCAGATATTTGATTCTTCCTAATAGAAAACTATATAAAAACACAAGCAGCGTACCACTTCTTGGGCACATGACTTTTTTATCCTTTGACCCCCAACATAATTTGCCGCCGCCTTTGAAGTTTGCCGGCTAGCCCAACCATCTCATTTCTATAAACTGTGGACATACTATAGGCTATAGAAGGGAATTGCTGAAAATCAACCACAGATTTTGTTAATCTTCAGCGGTTTTAATCTTCAATGTTGAAATTAAAATATGTTATTAGGCTAGGGAAGATAAACAAAATTCAAAAATTTCGAAACAGACTATCAATAGCAACTACGTCATCTAAAAATTGGTCATTCTCTTGGCCATACTATAGGCTAGATAAGGGAATTGCTCAAAATCAAGCATGTTAACAAAATCGTCTGGTTTTAATCTTCGATGTCGAAATTGAAATATAGTATTCGACTACAAGAGGTAAGCGAAATTCAAAAATTTTAAAACAAAATACTATTAAGTCATGTAAAATGTAAAAACTGCAGGAAATGGAATCCAAGTCCAAGGGTGTGATAATACGTCATTTAGTATATATAGTTTTAAGGGCTCTTACCCAGTGTACCAGACGTATGTAAACACTCAGACGCAGAATTTGAGTCACATTTTTCATATATTTGCAATCAATCGTTTGGAGTTAAATTAATAGTTTGGAGTTTACATTTATTGTAATTTAATCGTTTTGGAGTTAACTGTTGCACATATCGGACTATTGGAGTATAAGTTTACTATCCCGCAAGGAAGTAAGTGAATACTTTAGTTTATCTGTACGTACTATGTGTTATTTTCGTAATCGATCTGTGTAAATAGCTTAAAATATTGTTTGTTATGTAGTTTTTACCGTTGGTATGAAATAAAGACTAAACTTTGTACTGGCAGTTAGCTGTGCTAATTTTTGGAGACATAACAAACAACTTGGCAACGGGTGGCCATCTTGACTGCGCGTTGATAAACCATAAATTATGAGTCGGGATAAAACTAATTTATAAGCTGATTCATAATATCCAGCTGAGGCCAGCTTGTAATATCAATGTAATTTAGTTTGAAAAAATTGTTAAATGCAAATTAACATTATAAAACTTTTTTGCATGATTTTTAGATAAATTAAAGTGGCTCCCTACTGTTTTTGAAACTGAAAACAATGGAAGATGCATGTTTTTTAACATTGTTACTTCTTGAAAAGCAAATAGTATCAGAGATATAGAAAATGCTATAACTAGTATAAAATTTTAACCAAAAATGTCACTGCTGTTTCCATGGTTAACATGGCCGATTTCGTAAACGTCTTTGATTAGTAAAAACCATTACCTACTTAACATTCTAAAAATATCGCTATAATGTAAATATTTAAAATTGAATTAAACATGTTTTCATAAATTCCTCCCTAAATGGTTAAGTTACCACTTGCCAAAAAACCTGTATGGAGCTACCTTAAAACGATTCAGTAGTTGAGATTTGCGATTTAGCATGTATCGTACTGTTTTCATTGAAATGTACAATGACCAATAATTAGTTTTTACTAATCTAAATATGTCACAACACTTAACCATTGGATTGCTTAATTTGGTAAAGCAATGTTTTTGGACAATGACCATATATTGGTATTCATCATTCACATACAGTAGGCTACAAGTTCTACTAACATGAAACTGCTGTCTTACCCTGCATATTAACCAGTAAGGTTTAGATTTGACTCATTATCATTAAAGGACCATCAACAAATCAGATATGTAGGCACATGAGGATGTATATTAAAAAATAAGTGTACATGCGTACGTGACAGTGTTTATGTAGATTGACATATATATGTACACTTTCTGTTTTCCCAATACCAATACCAATACAAAATCTTGAATTTCCCTTATAGGAGCATGCCTAATAGACCGTGGCAGATGAACATAATAATTATGTATTCAATAGAATGCAGTTAGTTCAAACATTGGTGACAAACAACTTTGAAGTTTGCATAAATATGAAACATGAGCCAAGTAGATCTAAATTTAACAACACAAACTGTATGTTTCGTAACATCTGCTCATCACATACTAGTTCTACCAAATCACTACAAACATCCGGGTTACCATGAGATGCGCACGCATCGCCGTAGACGCCGTTCGAGAAGGAGTTTTGAAGACATTTTCGATAAAATTTAAGGTTTTACTTGATCTTATAAGGTAAGTTCATTGATTTTTATTGCTGTTGGTTCTTGTCGAAACGGTGGTCGACGTGATTTACCACATTTTATGGAGTTTAAGCACTTCAAATTGGATAAATTTATTGGCTTGTGACGTGTCACACTGCCTCCTGGTCTGCACAGAACGTGTTTTGTGCTTATAAATTCGCTGGTGTACGATTACAGGACGTGTCCTGTCTTACTTGAGCATAAGACGTGTCTTTGCTCTTTATATTTATTATATAATAATCGTTCCTGACCATATTGTTTAGGTGATGGAAAATAGTAAAAATACAAGTGTGCCAGTCAGGGAATCCGGGGCGATTATCCCTTCGACTTCGGCCTCCCAGTTGAAATCTATGTTTAAAGAGTTACTTGATGAAACTAAGAAGGATATTTTATCACAAGTTACTGTCGTTCCAATTGAAGTGTTGCTAAAATATTGATTCAATACATTACCTCGGGCTGACCAATTCATTTGATCAAGTTCCTCGAGATATTCATACACTTCCTGTGAAAATTGACCAATCACAATTCTTATTTGATTTAAATAAAAATCAACTGACCAATGAGGGGCTTACATTTAGATAAACAACATTTTTCAAATTTAGATAACGTCGAAATTTGAAAAGTACATTATGTATATTACAAGTACCTGAATAAGTAAAATATATTGTGATCTACACAAGAATATCGTATCGTAATATGATCCGTCACAACAATTTAGGAGGAACTTACGTTCGGGGAAAATCTACTCCAAGTATTATCAGATCATGTATTGTTTTGTTATTTTATGATGGCAAGAGCATGAAAGATATAAGCGATGATGTCAAGCTGAGCGTTGAAGGCGTGAGAAAAAGATTGAATTCATATTTCGAAACCCAATTCGATATCTGCAAAATTGCCTCCTGGAAAAGATCATTCGGTGATAACAGACAATGTTTTGGAACACATTGAATGGTACAAAACACAAAAACCAAGTATATATGCGAGGGAAATAAGAGATCGCCTGATTAGAGAGGGAGTTTCTGATGAAAACCATGCACCTTCTAACAGTGCAATTGCTTATTCGATAAGATGGGAGCTAAATCTAACAAGAAAGCGTTTGGAAGTTATACCTGTGGAGTCCCTAACACCAGCTGCGATAGAGAAACAAAACCGATATTTTGAAGAGATTTCGGAATTTCCTGCACGACACATACATTTCATGGACGAAGCAAGTGTCATTCGTACGTCTGGAAATCGGACTTATGGACATGCTTATATTGGGAAGCCTGCTGTCGAGGTGTGCCGGTATAGTTCTGACGCTACTTTTACAATCAATTTGTTATGTGGTTTTTTTGGCATAGATTACTGTGATGTTTTGGAAGGTCCGTCCAATGGTTTAGAACTACTTCAGTTTTTTTCAGATGCTCTTGAGCAAAGGTACCCAAACGGAAACCCGATATTATCCGCAGGTGATGCTGTAGTAATGGACAATTGCGGCTTTCATCACGCTCGCCACATTGAGCCAGTTTTGCGTGAAATGCTTTTACGACAAGGTGTGACCTTGATATTTCAGCCGCCATACTGTCCTGAACTTAACCCCTGTGAGTATTGCTTTGCTCATATGAGAAAATCCTTCCGAAATAATGAGCGGTTTACTGCTTCTTATACAGAGTTAGCGATTGTAAACGCTATGGAATTTATAACAGCGGGTTTTTGCCGAGGATTTTTCGAAAAATGTGGTTACGTGTAAATATGAAGACATATTACTGTAAACTAGTCTACATCTTATTAACCGTGTCTACATCGACATCTAGTTAATCTCCAGATCTATTACAGTAACCGTTGAGTTAAAATACGTTTATATGCATGCATGTACAGTAATTACACTTACTGTAAAATAGCGTCACAGAAATATACACTGTCTAGACGGTTTGTCTGATAATTGCTTACAATAACTCATATAAAATGTCAAACACGAAGTACATAAAGCTTCAACGACATAAACAAACCTTTACTGTAATTGTGTTCTAAATATTGTTTGTAATAATAAAAGTATATTACAGAAACGTTTGTTACAATTTCATACAGAGAAACACTTTGAAAGTTAGGAAAAAAAATTGTAAGGCCGTGTTTTACTGGGTAATAACCTGCAACGCAATTCTACTTTTGAGACATCTAAATTTACAGTAATAGTAAGTTGCAAGAAAAATTTCATCATGTATAAATTCGTGTGTAATACGGCCTTATAATCTTTGGCTTTGGTCTAACCAAAGTATATAGTTTACCAGCAATGAATTTCGTCACAAAAGTCATTTATTTACTTAATATCTACAATTACAAATAGATGCTGACTGAAACATATGTAGGGTAAGTAACATTTTGCTTTGAAATATAAATTTAAAATACTCATTTTTAAGCACTTTATGATTATAGTTTCTATAATAAAATAGTAGTTCATTAATTGCCATATTGAGAGTCTGGGGTTTTCTAACTTTCGAGCAGTAAAAATTAAGTAAAATGACAACACAACAATTATTTTGTGATATTGAAAATATAACTATCACTGTCTATAGCTAATTTTATTACAGTAAACGTTTAGTATCACATAGCATAAATCAACGGAATAAGAATCTAACCATGTAGGGCCTAAGTACTACAAAAAAAGAACAGTCAACATGACGACTTGCGAGTTTATATGAAAGTCAGTGAAACTGTAATGTTTACCAAACTCCTAATTTCGTTTACCTTGACCTTGCTCATGGCTTTGCAGTGCAACATTAGCAAGTTAACGCTGTTTGATGACTTTTTCCCACTGCAACGTTTTCGTTGATATTTGGTCTATTCACAACACTATTTTCTGTCTTTTTCTCATAGTCTGTATTGTGATCTTGAACCATGGCAAAATCTGTGGCGTTAAGTTGGGAAGGCAAGGCCATTGGCATTGCCGGGTGAAAGAAATTTGAAAATAACGGCGGTGGCGTTGCTTGCGTCGGGAACATCTGATGCGGATACATATTAGCCGGTGAAAAATGATTCACGTTACTAGGAAATGGGTGCATATAATATGGATATTGATGGAAACTTGCATCATATTGATTTGTTACCGGCATTGTTGGCGCCGAGTACAAACGAGTTGGCAATTTTTCGTACTGTGCGTTGACTTCTGCTGCCGACTTGGTGATAGTGCAACTACTAGATGGTCTGTTTACTTGCTCCTGTTGCTGTGTTGTGCTCGTTTGTTGTTTGCTAATGACTTCATCATCCACATCACTGCTGTCGAATGTCATTGGAAAATCTTCCATTCCAATATCTGTTTTTTCCAGGAAATTGCCGGTTGAGCAAGTGCCAAAATCTGCGGACACTTTGCTTTTCCCCTTCCTGATTAATGATAGAAAATTCTCCTTATCGTTGTCAGAAACGAGAGGTATTTTCCCATCCACAGCAATTTTCATGTATCTGACATCTCTAAGTAGCTGCTGCATCCCGTCCTTTCCTTTGTATTTGTCGGGGGAAAGCCGCTGAAGTCTCGGACGAACATTTCGCACAAAGTTTACCTCAGCGAATTCAGTCAACTGGTCCAGCTCTTTACTCGTGAGATCAATTTTTTCATTTAGAACCTTGAGAGCTTTTTCTTTCTATATTAAAAGCATTCAAAAGTAGTTGTAATAAATCGTTTATTCGTATTTCTGCATGTAATATACAATTTCAAAATGGTTATTGTTTTCAGAGTTACTGTAAATACTGTATTGTACAGGGTGTTGCGTTTTTAAATTCAAATAAGCCATAACCTACAGCATTGTGGTAGTTTGACAGCCGTATTAGTAATACTACATTACTAATACTGCAATAGCTTAGAATTGGCAAAAACAGAACGTCTTATACAATCGTGGCTGTTAAATTATTACAATGGCAAACTTTAATTTGAAAGTGCATTTTGATACGCCCTGTATTTTATAACTGAATATACTAAGACAAAGTGGTTCCCACAATTCGAACACATAATTATGCAATTAGGAAATCTTACCTCTCGTTTCTTAGTTTTAAACTCGGGATGAAGTTTTTGATTTCCACAGTAGTGGTATCCCACGCACGGTTCGAATTCGCACACTGCTCCGTTTTTATTGCCATCCTTCCTATGTCCACGGTGATGGCATCGAGTGCAAGTGACCATCATCACTCGACTGCCAGTCAATGCAAGAGGCATTAGTTCGACAGGTTTACTGGTGTATTCCGACAATTCAGCCTTGAGAAGGGCGTGTTTTTTTTCTAATTCTAGCTTATCTTGCAAAACAATGTCGTACGCGGAATTGTTCCCTTTCGATAATGTTCCATCAGAAAAGAGCGTTTTTGGCGCAAATGTGCTTTGCCTTTCTGAAGTTTCGATTTTATATCCCGTTGAGGTTTCCCCATCTGTTTTTCTCTTTTTGCACGCATGAGTATCGACTGTCGTAGATTGTGGACTTTCGATTTGGAATTTACTTCCAGGCGATTGGAGTTTGGCAACAGCGCTTAGAATCATTCTTCTATGCGGTGCTGGCACGACAAATGGTATATTTTGTAAATCTTTTAGCTTTAAAAATTTTAACATATTTGTTGAGGTAAAACCTTGATTTCTCAACGATTTTGCGTATTTGTTTAATTCTGGTGCTAAACCAGTAAGAAAATCTTCGACACTTTGAAAAGGCATCTTTTAACTTGACGAAATTATGAAAACAAGTAAGCAACTAATGCAAGTATGCCCGAATCCCAAAATAGGAAGTTGACTTTTGCATATTGCTTACTTCCTGTAATGCAGGATCAGTTGATTTTTATTTAAATCAAATAAGAATTGTGATTGGTCAATTTTCACAGGAAAGTGTATGAATATCTCGAGGAACTTGATCAAATGAATTGGTCAGCCCGAGGTAATGTATTGAATCAATATTTTAGCAACACTTCAATTGGAACGACAGTAAAGATAATATTGATCAGATTTATACAGATTTTGAGTCTGTTGCTATTGAGAATGAGGAAGTTGCCTCCACTGGTGAGGCATCCGAGCCTGGCATTACAGATAAAATTGAAAATTTTGTTCAGCCGAACCTTCCTGACCAGGAAGATCCACCTGATACTGGCTCATTCCATAATTTGGCAGTGGAGTTTTCTGTGGTAGAAAAAACTTCACCAGCTCTTATTCTTGGGTTGGCTGAAATTGTTAATAGCC